TAATACAGTGCAAAATTGGAAAATAATTGTTAATGGGAAATAAATGTTGTAAAATATTGTAGAAAATATATGACAATTGACTGTTATTAGTATTAACAATATAATAAATAAATGAATACACAATATATTTATTTAGGCTTTTGATTATTTATGGATTGGTGTTTTTTTATCATGCGGCTGGGAATGTCCAGCAGAGTGAGAGGCACCTGTGCAGCAGAAGGAGTCCGCGTGTTTTCTGCAGCTGATCTGAACGTCCTTGAAGCTGTATTGACAGAAGTTCACATCTCCGTGCATCACATAAGGCGCTTTGCCTATAATCTCTCTGAATGTCAGCTCTTGTCAAAGAGTGCGGCTAACTTTTACAGCGTGCAACAACATGTGCCTGATGAAACAACACGGTGACTGCATCACAGATATTAGTGTGCATGTTTACCTGTATCATTAATGTTTGATTAGGATTTCACTGCAGTAAAGTGTTTATTGCAGTACATTCACAGTGCTTGAGCCCGACATTCATGGCAATTAAGCTAATTTTCCCCAAAATTAATTTTTATGTTTTTATTTATTTTATGGCAATTAAGCTCGTTTCCTCCAAAATTCTCATTCATTAATTAATTCATTCGTTTATTGCAATTAAGCTAATTCCCCCAAAATTCTTATTTATTTATTTACTTTCATGGCAATTAAGCTAATACCCACAAAATATTATTTATTTATTTCTTTGTTTACTTACTTTCATGGCAATTAAACTAATTTCACATTCTATCTATCTATCTATCTATCTATCTATCTATCTATCTATCTATCTATCTATCTATCTGTCTATCTATCATCTGTCTGTCTCTCTGTCTCTCTGTCTGTCTGTCTATGGCAATTAAGCTAATTCCCACAAAATATTATTTATTTATTTATTTTGGCAATTAAGATTATTTCCCCCCAAAAATTATCATTGCCTTATTTATTTATTTTATTAATTTATCATGGCAATTATACGGTGACGCATTGCTGCCGCACACATATTATTTTTTCCACTCAATT